AAATGAAATTAGGCCGCGTGGTTTTGATTATTTTTGACAAGTGAAATTACGCCGCCGAAGAGATAAGAAAGCGGCCTTAATTCACGCGGTTTTAATTTTCCGACAGTGGTTCTTGAGAGTTTATTTGCGTTGCACATTTTTTAAGCGAAAAACTTGAAGTTTATTTGGATAATATTTTTTGTTCTACTTTCATTTGGGATGCACAAAATTTGCTAATATTAGAAAAAAATTATATTGAGACTTTTTGTTTCGACGAGATTTCCATTTATGTTTGTTTTTTATTCTTTTTACAAACAACAACAGGAAATTTCATTGATATGCGGCCGGAAATACAAATCTTTGAAGACGATTGGAAAATACTCAAATGAGAAAAGAAGACACATCAAAATCAAAATGGAAATTATGTTTCCCCTTTATTTGAATTCTTATTGCAGTTACTTTAGAATTTCTCAACAATTGTTTGTCCAGTTTTTGGATATCCGTTTTGGATGATGTAACAAACAGACTGAGAGCAATTTACAAGTATGTAAATAAGTGGAAATACTTATGCTCGGCAATGTAGCGAGATTACCTACATATTGGCTATTAAATAAATATTTAAGTAGGAAAATATTTCAACGGCGCATGAATTTTGTGAACAAAATGGAAATGAATTTTTGTGCGCAGTAGTAAGGCGTAAGTATTTTTTAGCTTGAGGAAACGCAGATGATAAACGCACAAATAAAATAATATGTATAAAAATAGGATAGATATGTACGTATGTATGTAGTATAGCTGTTAAATTTTACAAAACATGTTAATTTATGCGCAACAGGTTTTGAAATAAACAAATATTTTGAAAGTGAAAACACACAGGCACATGTGTAAGTATGTATGTGGCACCGTTTAGGTTTTAGAGAAAACTAAAAAAAAATCATTACCGCATATTAGAGTCACTAATTTACTCACTTACATAGATAAAAAAATAAAATAAAATTTTTTTGCAACATAATTAAAAATTAAATTTTTATAATACTATAAAATACCTTTCTCTTCTCTATTTCATTAAATAGGAAAAAGGCGCCTTCGTTTCTGCGCTCTATTGTCGCGACACCAATTGCACTGGGCTGGCCGTGCCTGAGATCACCGGTCTGCCGCATCCCAATTGGAATTGCCTGGTTTGCAAACAAAAATCGACGCATGCGCAAATGGTGAAGGCGCAGGACTTTGCATCTGGTGCCATAAGTTCCAAATTCAATTCGAAGTCACTCAAATCGGTGATACTGTATTTGAGAGACAAAAGCGCTAGCTTTATACCCGATAGCAATTATGCCGTAATCGATGCCAAGCTACAGGTGATAGCGCGTCTGGCGAAGAGGCGAGAGGATTGCGGCGATGATGAGGTGACGGCAAAGGCGAAGTTTTGTGAAGACATATTGGAGATTATGGACAAGCTGGGTTTGGGCGATTGTTTGATGCGCACATACTTGGAGACGGAGAAGGCGAAGGAAGTGAAGTAAGCTGATGGTAGGAGACCGCAAGACATCCGAAACGGAGTGGAAAAGAGGAAGCGAAGTGCGACCAAGAGTGAGCAACTTACGTATGTGTTGCAGATATTTGACGAATAGATAGCGATTTTGTAGCAGTGGAAAGATATTGCAATACTGTTGGAAAATGCAAGTGATGAAAGTAATTGCTTAAAGAAAAAGTAACAAAACAAAAACAAAAAATTGAAAAGTTGCTAGCATAATTATAAAATAAATATTTATCTACTCATTTTTTTTTATTTCATTGTAATTCCCTTTATTTTAAAACTTATTTATTTCTTGTGATTTGAATACGAAAGTTTCGCTGCAAGCACACGTTGACACTGATTATGAAGCTGTTTGCCCGACAAGCAATATTGAACCAAACATACATATTTACATACCTACAAACGTACATTTTTTACAATTATGTAACTGTGTCTCGAATTTTTAATGTACATATATAAAGATTTGTACTTGTACTTTGTATGTGTTATATTTACAAATATAAAAAGAAACGTCCTTTTAACATTTTAAAATAAAACAAAAAATTAAAATAAAAATTTTCGTAATTTTTAATTTTTTTTAATGTTCTTACTTATGTAAGGAAGCAGCAGATCTGACTGTGGAGGGTATAGTAACTTCGGGCCGGGTTGAATGGGTCCTGCGTACCTTCTCGAAACTTAAATCAGTAGGCATCGATGGTATTTTTTCAACCATGCTTGAAAAAGCTCGAAACAAATTATTAGAGTACCTATGTAAACTATTACCTGAATCATGGAGGACTGCAAAAGTTCTCTTCCTGCCCAAAAACAGCCATTTACACCCTTGTGATTTTGGGCCTATCAGCCAAACATCCCGTCTTCTAAAAACTCTGGAACGGTTAAAAGATGTATGTATACATATAAAGCAAAACTTAGATGGGAGGCAACTCTCGAAAGCGCAGCTGGCCTATGCTAAAAGTAGATGAGTCGAAACTCAGTGTGGTGGTGGGGGTGAGCAAGGCCTCGACAGAACTGTACTTGAGGGAATTCACTCGCCATTTTAAATTGGATATTCAGAGCAATCGTTAAGCCAATACTATGCTATGGGGTATTGACGTGCGGACACAGTAGCATATCGTCATGCTCAAACGAGCGAATAGACTACGTGATCCCTCGCCTGAGTTTCGTAAGGTGTCTAGAAGCTACAATAGAAGCTGGCGGCTGGCGTAAGGGCGTGGAGTTGGAAGAGAGCACAATACACATCTACACAGACGATTCCGAAATGGACGAAGGAGTAAGTACCGCAGTATACTTTCCCGAATCGGAATTTCATAGGTCCTTTAAGCTACCGGAGTATGTGCATGAAATTAACCCATCAAGAAAACTGATAAACATACATACATATATGTATGTAGTCAGACTGCTATTAAAGCATTTTTTCATGTAATAAAAACTCGATTACCGCCACGGACTGTAAGGAGGCTATAAAAAGGATAGCTGCGAATAAAAATGTATACGTATATTGGGACCCAGGACAAAAAGGGTGTGAAATGCAGCTAGCCAAAGAAGGCGTCCTCTTAGATGTCTCACTAGCAGGATTGCCACTTTGGTAAATGCTGTGAGTGTGGATCTCGGGGTCTGGGCGTTTGAAAATGTGGTTGCGCTATTTGTGCGTCTCCAGCCTTCAGAAGGCAGAGACTCGCATTACTCGATAAGGTTCAGCTGCAGGACCTACAGTCAGCAGTCGGCAAAGGACGAAAGTGCCTACATAAAATCCGCTAAAGGAACGGCAATGTGCTTTAACTCTGCGCGACAGGACGGATTTCTGGGTCCTAAACGTATCTGGAAACGCTATGGACGTTATATTCGTCTATGTGAGACCTCTTATGGTCAGCCAGCATAACCTTATCTATTACGTAGGTATGTACATATCGACGGCTGACTGGATCGAAAATACATTTTTTGGAGCGGCAGCTGAGTTAGGTCGATCTTCCATGCAGCTGACGAAATATTTTAGTTTTTTTGCTGCCTCAATATTTAAATGATTTTATCTAATTTTTTCCGTATTCATTTATTTATTTTTTGTTTTGTTAATACGCGTTGGCTTTTACTCAGAATCCTATTAAAAAAATTAAATATTTTAATTCTTTTATTTATGTTTTCCGCATTTTTGTTTAACAAATATTTTAATTTTAATGCGCTTATCAAGATATGTGGATACACATGCCTCTTAAAATTAGAAATCAAATAATTTATTTATTTTTGTTGTTCTAAAATATTTTATGTTTTTTCTAAAATTTTTTATTTTTATTTTTCTCACATAAATTCCTGCTTAGCAACTAATCCCTGCCGATCACTTTTTAATCTCACATAATTTTCGAGTTATTCACCCATTTAGTCCAATGGCCTATAATGCATGCACAAGAAGTAACAAATCAAATACATCCCTGTAGGAAAATTTAATCATGCCTTACCGCAAGAAAGAAAGAGCGAAAAGATTTAGATTATTTTGGGTTCAACTTTTTTCTATGATGTCTTTTAAAATATGCAACTAATTAGGAGTGGTTTAAAATTGGCGGAGCAGAGATTTGTCATTGAGCGATTTTTTTTCATAAATCAATTTATATTAAAAATATTTTTTTCTTCATGATTATATACACAAACTAAAAAACTATTTATACTGTATTAATTGCGTTGACTCTGTACGATCCGCAAGCAGTCATATTCCCGATTTTAGAACTAGGTGTGATATGATGATTTTCCTGCAGGGATACTATTCAATATTTATCTACATACATACATACATATTTGGTTTAGCTTCATTTAATTTTTAATCCTGTGCACAACAATCCAAGCGTTACAGTTGACACTATTTATAATTAATGGGCAGAAACAAAAATCGTACATATTTATGTATGTATGAATATATGTATGGTATATACATATGTATGTTTATAATAAAATGCATGTACAACAGTGAAACTTGTATGACAAAATACACTTCATTTACGAGTATATATGTATATATGTGCATAAATACGTAGACAGATATGTATGTGGATCTACATGCAGGCTGTTAAGTTTGCTCTGTTTATGAATGCGTGTAGGCGGGTTCACTTTCTTATTCTAAGTATGCAATCAAAACTTTGAATTTATTCTATTTCATTCCATAATTAGTTTTACCTTTCTAAAATAAATTATTTTCGTCGAAAATAGTTAAAAAGAAAAACAATAACGAATATGTGCAAAATTTTTTTTAAGTCATTGCAGGGTGAACAAAATTCAATGTCGAATATCGGGTGTTAGGGTGTCTCAGAAAATATTTTTTTTGCGAAGTTCCACAATTTTTATTTTTTTTTTGTTTCCTTTGACCTTCTAAGGTTAGATCGGGTTGGCTGGCTGCCTTCATTGGTGAAAGTGCACTTACAATTAGAGTAATTAAATTTACAAACCTTTGTGTTAACTCCCAGAGAGATGAAGATACGACGGGGCGTTGATGCGAGGTTGCCTAAGGGTCCGATTATGCATACTTCGCATAACTTCGCACAACCATTTGTACCCGTGCACTAAAAGTGTAACTTAAGAAAATGAGGAACAAAATCTAAACTCAACAGATCGCTAAGTTTTTAAAAGTTCTGCTAATTTCTGGGTAATCGAATACATACAAAATACATACAGAGTACATACGAAATTACAGTTTGAAGTTTATGCGAAGTTGAGCGAAGTTATGCGAAGTATGCATAATCAGACCATAAGGTTTTATAGTAGCAAAACTTCTTCATTCTAAACGACAATACCGCGCAAGCTACTTATCTCTGTTCCCGAAGGCTTCCCGTTGGTGAGCCAGTAGTGGGACCCAAGGTGTTTAAACTTTAACCTCGCGAAAGCTGGAAAGCTTAGCAGCAGTTGAGAATATTAAACTTTATCAGCTCCAATCGGAGAAGAAGGTTACCACCTATTAAAAGAGCTAAATTTAAGTTAATTTGTAAGTTAATTTAAACATGTGTCACAATAAAGGCACCAAAAGAAACATGTTTAGGAAGTTGTTAGTTTGAATATAGTTTTGAAAAGGGTTGCCACCTATTTGAGCGTTAAATTTAAATAAGTTATATTCAAGTTATGTGAAATATTTCAATTTTGGTGCCAAATGCAAGAGCTTTAAGAAAGCTTTAGTTTAAAAGTATTGAATTAACTGAAAGTTGGTCTACGAGTAGGGAAAGGTCCTTCAATAACTTAAAATTTAAGTTGGGCTGTCAGGTCTCTAGCAATAGAAGATTAAATGTTGTCTTTCACGACAAGTACATCCATTAATACCACTTTTTGTGTTTTTTAACTTAAGTTCAAATACTTAACATTACGTAGTATTGGTTTACTGCATTCACCTGGATTTCGCAAAAAAAAAAATCGGGTTTCTGAAACCCCCTAATGTATATGTATGTACATATGTAACACACTATACCAGTATACTCATATTCCTAGTATATTTGCGATTCCCTTGTCGTATATATATACATAAGTGATTAAATTAAAATATTGCTTTTTCCGCAATGTTAAAATTTACACATTGTGTTGCTTTTGTAAATTAGTGCTCTGCATTTTCATTCATCCGTTGCTAATTGCACCGGCATACAAAGTTTTATATCTGCTTAAAAATATATATATATATTTATGTACACAGGGTGTCGTAGATCACCCGTCCACCCCCTCTAAAGTGAGGGCAAATGTTTCTTATAGGAAATCGCAAAAATGCCTACCAAATCGGGGATGCACCATTTTTTGGTAGTATTAAGTCCATTTTTTTAAATTAGACATACATGTTTTTACCACTGATTCGGATTCTGAGGATAAAAATATGTAACTTTTGCTTGAAACTTTTTTCTCGGTAGTGCCTTTTTCAACGTCTTAATGACCTTCGAACTTCAATTCGTCCTGGACTTCAAATAGTCCTGGACTTCAAATCGTCCTGGACTTCTTACATGAGTGACAATGTTTTTATTGGAAAATGAAAAAATAGCCGTCATCTATTTGCCACCAGTTAGTGAGTGGCGAAACGAACGAACTCAATGAGATACAGCCAAACTCGCTATCGTACATCCTTGCTAGCTAACTTTGTTGTTGCTTTCACGTGTAATTTTTTTTTTTGCTAGGCGAGTGGTAATCAAACAGAAAAGTGGAATTGAATGCGGCTAATATGAGTTA